CAGATGGGTTAAAGTCATTAAATATTTGCCGCATTGTGGGACCAAAGATGTACAAAATGCCCAGCAAGTTTGCTGGATTAATCCTGCCGACCTGATAGGCAGGCTAGTCTTTAGAGTATATTTCCTAGGCCAGACTGTTCAGAGATTTTTTTGTTTTTGTTTTAACCTGCCTAACACACATTCACACACATGCGTACCTGTCACAGACACACAGACGGAGGAAGGAGCTTAAAAAGCAAACGATCGCTTTTAAAAATGTTACATCTTTATCGGACCCCCCTATTTACAATCAAGCTGAAATTTGCCCGTTTAGGAATATGCAGACAGATGACTCGATCATTTGAAACAGAGACTTCCATTTCTTTCACTCAGTCGACGCAGAGAAAGAGACTGTGACAAAAAAGGTGTTCATGCAGTTTACGCCAGCTGTCTTGGAGCTGAAACAAACCGGGTCTTTTGAGTGCCCTGAAGCTTTATATTCACCATGGAAGAAGTTGGCCTGACAGTTCATTCAACTGGAGCCAAATCAAAGCTGAAGAAAGAGCAAGGGTCCATTGTGAAGTCACTCGTGGAAATGCTGCCTTGCGTGGAAAGGAACCAATATTTTGGCAACACTGGCACATCAGGCTAGAATGAAGCTCTCCACCTTAATAAGTTAGCTTTCTACCTGTGGAGGCTTGTTCCATGAAGACTGATTCAAACCCCCTCCCCACAATCTGAACGTGTGGTTTTCCTGCATATTAGGATATTGGTATGTATATAGGAGATTATGCCATTGTCGTCTCTTTCTCAGTACTTAAAGAACGTTTGAGTGATTCTTGGGAGTAGCTGATACTTCTACATGGAGAGATTTCCCTCTCTAGTCCAATTCATTTCAGTTCCAAATCATATAACAGTCTTGATCCAAAGCATTTCTCAGCACAGGAACTTCCTTTCATATTCTGGTATGGAAGTCTTTACTCACTCTATACTCCGGTTCCTGAGGAGGGATACCCTCTTGTAGCCCCTCCCAGGAATGCACCTTGCTTCCTAAGAGGCAGAAATCATAGAATTGATGTCAAATAACTGATGTCAAAGATTTTGGGGACATTCCACCCTTTCTCTGCTCAAGTACCATTGACCAAGCAAACAGTTCTTTGTAGCTTCAGAGTGAAGACTAGAGCTCTTGTCAGGCTTCTTTTATATCGCCGAGCTGGTACAATGGGGGCTCGAGGATGTTTAAGGCTGGAGACAGAGGACAGTTTTCTCAGAGAACCGGTCTGATTGGGACTCAGTCAGGTAAACGGGTTTGGCAGGTTGTTACTTTCAAAAAACCTGCCACACCTGTTTGACCATCCACAACAAACCATTCCCAGTTCTCTTCTGGGTGAACTACACGTTACTCCAGATCTCTCAATTTAAAAAAAACAACAACTAAACTTCGCTGTGTGGGAGGAGATCAAGAAAACAGCCCAAGGGGGGAGGAAGATTAACCCTCTGACCTTTCCTGACCTAAATCTTCCCTCTAACCTGTCCACTCTCTGGGAGGGGGAATATACAGGCATGAGTTTATATTCTTTCCCCCCTTCGAGGCAAATAGCATTTTGAGGGTTTGTGTGTGTGATCTAGATCAAGAAGTATGGTATAGGGGCAAGAGCTAACCTCTCATGGCACCATGCTGATTCCCTAGTCAAATAACTCCCACTCCCAACACACAGCTGCATTTAGTAAAAAAAGTTGAGAAATTAGTCATAGATCTTCCAACATAACATTAGTTTGGCCCTTAAAAACTATAGTCTGTCACCAGCAGCAAATGTCTTAGGATTTATCCCGGCAGCGACATTATCCTGAGATTCTTGCAGTGGTACCTTCCAGTCATCCACTGTGACACAGGTATTGGTAAGAGGATTGCCAACTCTGGCTTGAGAAGCTCCTGGAGATTTGGGGGTGGAGCCTAGGGAGGGCGGGGTTTAGGGAGGGGAGGGACCTCAGTGTGGTATAATGCCATAGAATCCACCCTCCAGAGCCACCTTTTTCTGCAGGGGAACTGATTTCTGTAGTCTGGAGCGGTAATTCCAGGAGAACTTCAGGGCCTCCCCCCAGAGGTTGGCCACACTAGTTGGTGCACCTCATTTTTAATATCTTTTGGATATCTTGTGAATCTTTAGATCTGTTAAGACTCCAGCCTTTTTTCTCCTTCTTTTCTAAAACAAAACATCCCCCCCTTAAATGTACCTTTACAATAAATAGAACATACCATAATTTTGCCTGGAGCGTTAGGGAGTAAGAGGATTAGGAGATTCGGTTCCGGTAGGTGGAATTAGTTTGGTTACAAGAAAATGGAACGGCGGGGAAAAAAAGAGCATTTTCTTTCCTATCACTGGGTAACTATCTGCTTTGTTTTCAGAATTGCAATAGAAATAGTACCTATTGGATAGTGCCTACAGAACTGCCAGTCGGGAACCACAGCAGTCAGACCCCAATTTGCATGTACCTCTTTGCGCCTGCAGGAAATCCATCTCCCTGGGGTGGGGGAACCCCCCCCTACCCCAGCTGTGTTTCACAAATTCCCGATTTAAAGACAGCTCCTTTCTTTCATGATTTATCAGTTGCTTGATCAGCAAAATATTTTTTTTTTTCTGTACAGTACAGATACAGGAAGCATGGGTACTGGGAATGGGGGAAGGAGAACGGAGCCTTGGGTTTTAGGACCAGGGTGGGGGAAAGGACCCTTATTTTATAAACCCTGCTCTGTGGGACTTGCTGCAACACAGAGTGCTCTTTACCTAGTGGGCAGAGCTGCTACTGACATGGAGAACAGGGGTGGCTTGACGATCATAGCCACTGAGAAGAGTCCCAGTGGGCCAGTGGCCTTGGGAGACATACCCCGTGCTTCAGGGCTACCGTGGCCCTGAGTGAGGCGAGACTCACCTTGTGCAAGGCGACCCCACACAAGGTGGGTAGGAGCTGCCCCAAGCCAGCAGCCCTTTTCCCTGCTCAAAGTGGACGAGCTTAACAGGTGGCCTTTGCATTGCACAAGGCAGGTGGGCTTCATTGGTGGTCTTGTGCAAGGTGGGTGGGATCAAACGCAGCGGCATTCACTTTTAGCCTGCACTGCCTGCCTGCCTGCCTCCCTCCCTCCATCAGGGTTATGGGCCCAGTCTGCCCTTGACAACAGGGGGTGGAGGAAAGTTTCCCATCCCTGATTTTTTTTAAAAAAAATAGATTCTACAAATTAGGCAATTTTTAAAGATGCAGGGTCTATGAAGCAGCTGGCAACCCAAATCGTGATTGCTGCTTTCTACCCCGGCACAGGGAGTGAGCTGTCCTCAAGTGACCAAATTGAATCCCCAGCCATTGCTCCCTCTAAGCTGAGTTAATGTGAGCTAGCTCACAGTTTGTTAGCCTCCGGCTCACACATTTTTGTCTTAGCTCAGGAAGGATGGCTCCAGAGCAAACTAATTGATGCAGAAGCCAAATTGCTCACTTACAACTTTAATGCCAGTAATTCATAAAGTCAAGTTTTTGCTCACAAGACTCCACAGTTTAGAGGGAGCCACCCTTGAACTGTTTCAGGTCAGGAAAATGGTGCATGGGGGAATTGAAGCTCTTTTGCATGCTTTTCACAGTTGCAAAGCAAATCAGGCACTGCATGCATGGAAAATGATGAAACCCTGCAGCTCACATGTGAGTATTACACAGGACACTAGGTGGAGACCCCAGTCTGGACCCGTGTCCTCATGAATGTGTGAATGAGCCATCTATGTGTTATCCTTTCCTTGAGGTCCCCTTTCATAGAGGCACAGATCTGCTTGTGAGGTCACTGCTTAGTTGTGCTTCAGACACAAAGACCTGCCTCTGAAGACACATGGGCCATTCCTCAAGGGAGCCGATTCGGGGAGGGCAAAAGAAATGCAGTGCCCTCAGTAACGTAAGTGAGCCACGGGAGATCTGATCTCATCTCATTCCATCTCCCTTGGCTGATCGCTTTGGCATGTTAGAACCCGTCAATTTCATAGGGTTTAGGTGCCTCACTGCTGTCAGTTTCTTGTACACATAGGGCTGAATTCTGAAGCACAAGAATCACCAATCCCAAGCACTTCCCCTGTTGGGAACTGAACGTATCATGAGTGGTTTCCTTATTCAGCTTCTAGTCACTTCCTACCTGTCCAACAGGAGAAATGGCCTAATGGGAAAAAAATGCCTGTCTTCCAGCACAATCCAGGACAGACTGGCTGCTGGTGGTATTGTATACCCTAGATGGCTGTCCTGTTGGGGGCAGCTCTTTTCCCCAGTAAATTTACCTTTTGAAGGTAGCCTGTGAAGAACAAAACAACTTTAATTCCAAGGCCAAACAGTTAATCAGTGGCAGACCTGGGAGGAGGTCACGGTTCTCTATCTAGCTACATATACTTTAACTTAAGGTGTTCTCACAAGTGACGTTGCCTGGAATTCACCGCACATGTCGCCTAAATCACATGCCTTATGTAAGTAGCATCCTGTTATTTTGATCAAGGGCACTGGTCTGTCAGGGATCCGGCATCTGCTTGACCTTCAAGACTTGGGGCTTTCTAAAAACTGGGCCTGGAATGTAGAATGGACATTTCAAGAACCGTAGAGACCACAGATCTGCAGCAGGTAGTGATTGGCATAGGTTGTGCTAGGACCAGCCCTGTGTGTGCCAGCAGAGATCCACCACATCCACGTGCGCATGCCAGAAAGGTTTGCAGTGTTCCCTCTAAGCTGAGTTAGTGTGCGCTAGCTCACAGTTCCATAGCCTCCAGCTCACACATTTTTGTCTCAGCTCAGGAAGGATGGCTCCGGAGCAAACTAATTTATGCAGTAGCCAAATCGCTCGCTCACAGCTTTTAATGCCAGTAGCTCACAAAGTAGGATTTTTGCTCACAAAACTCCGCAGCTTAGAGGGAGCATTGCTCATGAGTGGAATGAGAGGGATACATATGTCAGATCACTCTGTTATTCTGGTTTCATTAATCTCCTCTTCAGCATTAATTGGGGACAGCGACAGCTTCCCGTTCCTTACAAATGTGGATTAGGGAAACGTAGACTGGGGAAACAGATTGCAAAAAGTGGAGTACAGCCGTCCTGTTACCGTTTCGTAACCACCCTGATTGTGTGGCTGAAATAATATGTTGGAAAGTGGGCAGCTTAGGAGTGTGCATAAATATACATTAACGTGATCTTCAGTTTGTGTCCTGAAGGGAACAGAAACCACACGTGGGGCTCTTAAAGCGGGAGCATCGTGACATACGTTTACAGATGAAGCCAGTGGACAGAGGTGGCTCCTCTCAGGAGGACCAATAGGGTTAGCTGGACCAGCTGGCTTGGCGAGGGGTGTCATTAGACTATTACAGTTCCAATGTTTGGAGATCCGTGGAAGCTGCCGCTGTCGTTGGGGGACAAAGTCTCACTTGACTCGGATCTCGGCGTATTCAGCCAGCTCCTCCGTCAGGGTGTAGCTATCCTTGGTGGACAGTTTGGTGAAGTCTATGTTGGCGTAGTCAATGCCCAGGTCCTCACGCTTGTTCAAGAGCCGTTTGTCGCTTCCTGGGTGGCGCCCGTACTGCAGGAGCGGGACAGAGAAGGAGACGTCAAAACAGGCCGCGGACAAGACCTTTAACCTGTGGGGTTTACTGTGGCCGGGATGAATTCCTGGGTCACGAGGCCCAGACGAGACATCTGCGAGAATTCATGAGCAGATAGTCTGCTTTCCCCTCCCCTCCCCATAATGGAATCAGCGACGGGTTGGTGTGCAGGGATGGACCAGGGCCACCACATGGGTGAAAGGGAGACCAACCTTCCCTCTATGTTGTTTTCCTGTTGTAACGGCCACTTCAGCACTGTCATTTTTTGTCACTTGTTTGTCCCTATTGCTTCAGGGGTTCCCCCCCCCCCAATGTGTTTTGCTCTCTCTAGTAGTCCCAGAGGGAGCAAACCACGTGTGGAAAAAGGGGGGGGGAGACCCATAGGGAAAATGAGTGACAAAACTGACAGTGTGGATATGGTAGCTGATATCCCCCCCCATCCCAGTACTACAATTTCCTGTGTGCTGTGGCCCCCAGTCTGGATCAGGACCCCGACCCAATCCTTTAAATTAAAAAAAAAACACACACTCAAAAGACCTGGGCTATATGATTGGATTTGTCCACTTTAGTGCTGAAAAAAATGGGGGGGGGGGTCTCCTGTGGAAGAGGAGAGCAACGAGTGGGAAGGAACAGCCATTTTCAAAGACATCTGAAGAAGAGGAACCGTATTTTAAAAAGCAGAAAAGAGGACATCCGGCTGACTACTTCAAATAAATCATCACAATGGCAAATCTCATTTTATATACCCCTACTATTTAAACTGTGATAATTGCTACTAACTAGGAATATTCCTAACCTTCCGATCCAAAAAGAGGAGATTTTCATCAGTTTCTTAAAAAGAGCCCCAAACCGGACAGGCACATCCCCCAAAAGAGGACATCTGGTAACCCTACAGAACCTCTAGAGAGATCATTTGCTTTTGGTTAGTTTATATATTCACCTGAATTAAGCAGTAAACCCTTTAGTGGACCATACCATTCCAAGCTGGGGTGGGGGCAACCACAAGTCTGAAAACTCCCTACAGATAGATGACTATTTTTTTAGATGCAGGGATGCTTTTTTATTTCATAAAGGAGCATTCAGGCATGCAACCCTCACCTGCTGCCTGAAGAAATATGATGCACAGTAAGTTTTCTTGCTTCATTTCTGCTGAATGTATAATTTCAGTTAATACAATCTCCCAAATGGGCTTTCCATTTATTTTGAGTTCCATGGAGATTAGCGACTTTAAAAGGCAGGGGATGCTGAAGTCTGCCTGGAAACACCACCTATCGAACTGGAAGACCCTCCCTCCAAATCCTCGGTACCAAAGGAATTGCACCCTGCACTCGCTCAGGAGCACTTTGTCCATTCTGATATTCCAGGGCATTAAAATCTGAGGCTAGAGCTAAGCCCTGACACCAGTGTTCCCTCTAAGATGAGTTAGCGTGAGCTAGCTCACAGAGTTTTTAGCTTCCAGCTCACACAATTTTGTCTCAGCTCAGGAAGGGCGGCTCTAGAGCAAACTACTTTATGCAGCAGCCAAATCGCTCGCTCACAATTTTAATGCCAGTCGCTCACAAAGTAGAATTTTTGCTCACAAGACACCACAGTGACACTGGCAGCAATATGGAACTGCAGTATACTTAAGAGTTTTGACGTGGATGAGAACATTTCCTCCTCTCCTTTATAAGAAAAGCCCTACTGGATCAAGCAAAAGCCCATCCAGTCCAGCATCCTGCCTCTCTTTGTGGCCCACCAGATGCCTCTCTAGGGCCCTGAAGCAGGGTGCAAAGCCTACCCCTATTCTCGACCCCCACCAATGCTACTCAGAGGTACCCTGCCCAAACATGGGATTTCCATTTAGGCATCAGGGCTAATGGCCACCAGTGAAGCTGTCTTCCTTGCTCATTATCTTCACGGCATCCCAGACCATCTGGGCGTGATCCGAGCATTCTGCCTCAACTTTTTGTTTTCAACATCGTGAGAGATCTGGACCTGAGGCTTTATATTGTTTTACTAGCGTCGCCTCAACTTTTTGTTCTCAACATGGTGAGAGATCTGGAGCTGAGGCTTTATATTGTTTTACTAGCGTCTCTTAAAAAATCTTGCTACCCTAAGCACTGGGGTTGTTTGAATGGTTGAGCCAGGTCCCAGAGGCATAAGAGAATCTTCTTTGGAGGATCTCGTTTAAAAAAACACACACACACACACAAAACAATGATAAAACCCCCACCACCACAACAGCACCTGGGAAGGACACACACAGGTAGGGACCCCAGCCAATAACGCTTGGTTTGATTTTACCGCAGAAGCCATTGCAGAAGCATTCCTTTGACAAAGGCATTCAGGACGGACTTTTTCACACACAACACTAAAAGCCACTTTTGAGCTGTTGTTGCACCACGGTGAATATTGTTAACGGAGGACTGACTCGGGAAGGAGATTGTGTTCAAAGGGAAACATACATAAACCAAGGCAGCTGTTATCACAGTCACATTACAGATGTGGAAGATGCAACAACCCCGGCTCCTCCTCTTCCTGTCACCTGACTCTGACGTCACATGCTTTCTTGCCACATGCTTGAATCTCAGTGGGTCCCTGTTGAAGACTGCTGCTCGAGGGAGCCGACAGCTACTGGGAAGGACTGCTGTTCTGAACTGAGCTTATCCTATTCTGTAAAGCCTCCCTTTACTGGGATGGGCAAAGTTTAACCTCGGATAGGAATACTCTGATGTGCCCTTGGCCATTCCAAACACCTGAAATATAATTCACAACTGCTTGCCAAGCAAGTGGCTCAAATTGAGAAAGAGCGCAGCGGAACAGAATCGCTCTTCACGTGGCTGGTGGAAACCCAATTCCAGCCTGCTGAAGTTGCTTTTGAGACGAGAGCTGCCTGCCTGTTGCTTACGTCTGTCCCTTGTATCCTGCCTGCCCATGCAATGCATGTTTTTTATCACAAAGATGCCATAAGCCTCCAGCGCCTCTTCAGGACACTGTAAAACAGTGACCCCCAACTCGGTGCCCACTGATGGGTTTCCCAATGTCCGGTCGCTGCTTTGGCAAAGCATTTTCCCCCCAGAACCAACAGTGAATCTTGGCTTTCCTCCCTCTCTTTGGAGCAGGAGGGGCCTCAAAAGAACCAGGAGGCTCTTCTTCGTGTCTTTCGGGAGCACCTGGTTGGAAATAACTGTCCCACCATAGGCTTGCAAACTTCCCGATGTTCTTCAGTTGGCCTCAGCAGCCCATGGCGACCATTTTGTGACCAGTCCCTCCTCCATGGTAGCCATTTTGTAGTGGCACCCACTCCCTGTCCTCAGCATCCAAAAACAGTCCACAGGATTGGGGACCACTGCTGTAAAAAGTTGCCCTGGATTCCTCATCAGTCAGGAAAGCTAAAGGGGAGAGCAGGGCGAGCATGACATGGGAAAGCATCCACTTCCCAGAACCAGACGTCACGTACACAGAAATGGGGCGACAAGGTGACACACCGAAAGGGGAGTCTGTACTTACCTGCCCGGGTCAGTGGCCCTCCAGGGAGCAGATCTCCTTAGACTATCAGAAAAGGAAGAGCAGTCACTAGTGACCTGAGTGGGAGAGGATACCCCGGCTGGCGCTAGAACCAGCCCTGCCATGAGGCAAGGAGAAGCAGTAGATTTGGGGCAACAGAGAGGGAGAGAGTCTGATGAACCCATGAGGCCCCAAGAGGATTCTCGTATGGATTTTCCTTCTTGGGTCTTGGGCAAGCCCTGGCGTGTAACCTGGAACCAGCTGCTGAAGACTTAGCTACAGGAGCTTAATGGGGAGATTGCTTCCCAAGATGGGAGACCTCCGTATTGCCAGGCAACGTGGGCGACTGCTCAGCTTTGAAAAGTGCTGCTGAGCCATTGAAACTCAGAATACACGAGGCTCAGAGATCAGTCTGAAAGCACAGGGCACGATTCAGTGGGAGAAACCAAACCGATCTGCCCATTCATTTTTATCTTGCCTTTCCCTCAATGGCAGAGCATCTGTTTTGCATGCGGAAGGGCCCAGGTTTAGTCCCCAGCATCTCCAGTTTAGGTAGCAGATGATGTGAAAGACCTCTGCCTGAGCTACTGAAGAGCTGATGCCAATCAGAGGAGATCTTGATAGACCAATGGGCTCGATCAAAAGAAGGCAGCTTCATGTGTTCCTCCAAGGATCTTGGGACACCTTACTGAAAAAAACATTGTGGCAGGGGACGACCTTTTGTGAGTCACTGCTCAGTTCTGTAGACTTATTTCCATTTATTCTTTGCATCCTCCTGAACTGAATCCTCCTGGATGAAACTGAGACCTAGGTTTCCTGTCTCATTACCAATGCTGATAACTGCACGCCTACGACCCCTCTGTATATCACACTTGATCCAATCAAGCCTGCTATTGCTATTCGGCATCTGAAATCATCTTTATATCTCCGGTACCTCATGTTACATCTCATGGCATACATGGCCAAACTACGGTTTGGCAGGCTGTCCCAATGCATGAGCCCTGGTTTGCGATCATTTGCGATCGTCCAGCAAGCCAGGGTAAGCAACCAGGGCCTGAAGCGGGTTTGGCAACCATGGTTGGCATTAGCGATGGTTTGGGATGGTGTCTCCCATAAGCTAGAGCATCAGCTGCATCTGCAGTGCTGAGCAGATACAGAGCAACGCCGGACTGGCCAGTCTAAACCATGGCTCACCGTTACGGGTGGAAACTGTAAGCATGGTTTTGTTCTAAACGACGGGCTCGACTCCAGTTGCAGCTTGGAGACCAACCAGATTTTCAGGGTATAAGCTTTTGAGAGTCAAAGCTCCCTTGGCGTATCTAAAGCTTATTTCCCCAAAATCTTGTTGGTCTCTAAGGTGCTACTGGACTCTATAGCTGTTCTTCTGCAAACCAACATGGCTACCCTCTGATACTTCTAAATGGTGGTTAGTGTAAAAACAGTGTTTGGTGTAATGGCCAGACTGAGCCACTGTGAGCAGAGAAAATGCTGGGTTCTCCCTGCGGCCCAGTTACTAAAAGCAAAAGAACCCATTTGGCATCCTCTGGCCAAGATCTGCCCTCTGACTCCCCTCTGTGTTTTATCTAGGGTTGCCAGGTCTTACCTGGCTGCTGGCGGGTGTGTGTGTGTGTGTCCCCCTCTCTCTGGGACCTCTTTGGCATGGTTACTCTATGGTAACCATAGAGTTTTTCTCGAATGATACAGCATCCCCCCGCAACGTGCCCTGCGCGATGACATCATTGCACCAGGCACATTGGGGCAAACGGGACCACTTTGGGGGTGAAGTTCCCCCTGCTGGCTGGATCTGGGCCAGCAGATTGGGGCTCCCAAAAGCAGGCAAACCCCTGCCCCATCAGGTGAATGGTGACCCTAGTTTTATCCCTTGAACTTGCTGCCAAATCTTGCCTCCCTGAAAAGTACGCAGACAGACGAGTGATTTCAGCTAACGTACTTTTATTTAGTGAAGAACAAGACAACTTTTGCCGGCTCGCAGGCCGGTTTATATTCCCCATGAAACCACCACCCAGAACACCCCCCACACCACAATAGGTTATTTACAGTGGCCGAGAGTTCCATAGGCTCTTGGCCGGGAACCTAGCCCTCCGATAGGTGCGGGCTAGGATCCGCTTAGCTCATTGTCTCTTCGAGCAAAGCTCGACCTTTGCGGTTGACCGCGTGAAGCCCAAGCCGTCCACGCGATCATAACTGGATACATTACACTCCCCCAAGCTCACTTCCCTTTTTTCTGTAAAAGCCACGCGTGTGAGCACATAGGAATTCTGGGCAACTCAAAAATAGGTTTGACTCCTCTCCGAAACTCAGGTTTAAGTTTGATGCCCTAGTCTCAAGACTTGACTAAAAGCGCTGGGGGGGGGGGCAGGTCTTTTG